CCCTCATTAGAAGAGCTGTTCTGTCATCCTTGGATGCAGGATATTCCTCTGCCGTAGAAGAAGGGAGAGAGCCACAGGCACACTTTCATGCAGGGCCCTGGTAAGTTACAGCTCCACACATGCCTTGGCAATGAGTAGCAAAGGAACCCAGACTTTTTTGTCCTGCCTATGTCACTGCCCAGGGCTCATCAGACGGGAACACGCAGCCCTTGTGCTGGAGCTGAGCTGCTCTGCCCATCACTGGTGGCTGCCCTCTGAGCTGGTTTTGCTTGTCCTGGTTTCCTGACAGCTGGGGCCCTGGGCAGACCCTGACAGCCTGGTGTCCCCCCAGGGAAGGAGAAGGAGCCCCTGGAGAAGCTGTACCAGGTGGGGATGCTGCTGCTGGAGACAGGGAGGATGACATCAAGGATGACAAGCTCTTCCTGGACCTGGCTACTGGCCAGCTGAAGATGCTGGACTTTGATTGGGGCACCTTCTTCAAAGCCAGGCTCCACAGGGAATTTGCAGATGAGTCCACACACAGGGCGATGCTCCCAGATTTGGGCATGGCCCAGCCTGGCCAGGAACCAAAGGTTCCCCCTTTGCTGGGGCAGATGCAACTCATTGTTCAGTTGCTGCCCAGCTGCTTTTGGCAGGGCTGGGGCATGGGCTGGGCTGGGTACGAAATGGGAGTGGGCTCCTGGCCCTGCCAACAGCCCCCAGCAGCCACCATGGCCTGGGCTGGGGCTGGGGCTGGGGCAGCCAGCCCAACACAAACAAAGCCCCATGGTGGGAGCAGAGGTGGGACTCCAGAAGCTGTGCAGGGGCTGCTTTGTTCTGCAGGCAAGGAAGGGCTGGGCTGCTGCACTGCCCTTGTTTGCTTTGGGATCACCATGATTTTGGGGGCAGTGCAGGGGGGAAGGGGGAAAGTGTGGGCCTCCCTCACCCGTGGGTGGGTTTTTCCCTGGCATGCAGGGGTTGGGCCTTCCTCAAGGCCCTGGTAGAGATAAGATTTTTGACCTTGTTTCCCCCTTTTGTCTGTAATCTATTTTCAATAATTTTTGTTTGTTTTTCCAGAGGAAGCATTCTAGGTGGTCCAGTGTGGATGGGGAAGTGCTTGGGAGCAGCTGTGGCGTGGATGGGCCGTGCCCTTGGAGAAGGCTGAGGCCATGGTTTGGGAGCAGCTTTTCTTCCAGCCATGGTTGGCGTGAGATGGGTCCCTGTGTGCTTGGCAGGGTGGGATCAGAGCTTTTGGGAGATGGCAGCGAGCACAGGAGCATCCTGCTCTGGGCAGCTGCTGAGGGCTGGATGTGCCGTGGGTGGCTGCAGGCTGGGCACATGTCCTGCCCTCCTGCTCTACTGCCAAAGGCAGCAGGGATGGGCAGCTCTGGGCACAGCTCTGGGCACAGCCAGCATGGCCTGGGCACCGCAGGCCTTGGCACAAGGGCACAGGAGCCCTCAGCTGACGGGCACTTTCTGCTTTCTCTCCTTGCAGCCGGGCTCTGCGGCTGCTGAGGCTGCTCTGGGCTCTGCCAGGGCTCTGCTGGAGCTCAGCACCGGGCTGGAATCAGCCAAAGAAGAAATGGTGCGACCTGCAGCACAGACTTGCTTGAGCATTTTGGCAGCACAGCCCAAGTTTGCAGAGTGTATACTTCCAAGGGAAAACATGACACGCCCCAAAAACTAAACTTGTTCAGTAACTTCTGAAATGAAATCAATCTGGGATGACCCCAAATGACATTTTTCAGCTTGCTCAAGCTGTAGCTCAGCCCTTCTCTGAACAGTTCTCTCCCCCACCTGCCTTTTACTTCCCAACTGCTCCCTCTTTCCCCCAGTGAGTTCCCAGCCCATTGAAGTCTCCATCACCCTGTTGCCTTCCTTGGTGCCCCTCACCATGAGGAAGGCAGAGCCCCAGGCTTAGGGACTCATCTTGTGACTGGCTGAGGAGCAGCAATGTCTCAGAGGTCCAGTGGGATTTTAGTGTCATTCAGAGCCACTCTCCAGCCCTCAGCTCTCCTCACTGCTGAGCTCCCTCTCCCTTTTCCTTGTCCTTGCAGCAGGATGAGCTCTGTGAATCCCCTTGAGCCTCCCCACTCTTCCCAGCCCACGCACCCACCTCAGTTAGGCTGAAGCTGAAGCTTCTCTGTCTCCTGTGGCACACCAGCCCAGTGCCCTGTGTGGGGAGCCCCAGCCCCAGAGCACAGCACACAACAGTGCAGTCCAGGCTGCAGCAGCTGCCCTGCAGCCCTGGCTTGGCTGTTTGTGGCAAGGGAATGCTCCCTGTGTCCAGCTGTCCCTGCAGGATGGCCCCAGGGCAGAGCCCAGCCGGGCTCGCACTGCAGCCCCTGGAGCTTGGGGCAGACAGCGCTCCCAGAGCTGAGGTTCCTGGGGAGCACCCGGAGCTGTGCCTTGCACTCTGTTGCCGTGTGTCACAGTGCAGGCTGGCTCGTGCTGTGTGAATGTACCAGCCCTGGTTTGACTGCCAGGGGCCTCGCCCAGTCACATCTCTCCCAGGGCTGGAGCATTTCACTGGCCAGATTCTGACAGGGCACAGAGATCAGAGCAATGAAATTATCCAGACAGGGTTTTTCAAAGGCCCTTTAGAAGGAAGGGCTTGAGAATAAACGCTCCCTGTTTGCCACATGAACATCGAGGTGAGTGCTCTCTCTGTCTCCAAGCCACTCCCCTTCCAGCCAACGTTACAGCAACCCACACCCTCACATCCCCCTCGTGCCTTCCCACTGCCGTGTCCTGTCAGGGCTTCCCAGCCCCTCATCCCTTCATGGCCCCATCCCCTCAGGGGCTGCCCCAGCCCGGCCAAGCTGCCCGGCAGCAGCGCCGCAGCCCCACAGCAGCTCCAGAGCAGCCCCATCCAGAGGCAGCTGGGAGCCCTCAGCAATGCAGCCAGCAGCACACGGGCAGGAGGACACAGAGGGCGCTTCCTGCCTGGCCCAGGGCTTGTGGCCATCTCCAGGCACCACTCTCACAGGGATCCCCGCAGCTCTGGGCCCTGGCCAGCCGCTCTGTCACCAGCACAAAGGCTTCAGCAGAACCACCAAAGGCCAAGGGGCTTCTGGCCATTTTCCCTGCAACACTGCACACCTGGACAGCTGGCTGAGCCCAGGCACCCTTGCCCCCCTCTTCCCCTATGCCCTGCTGAGCCTGGGTAGCAAAAGAAAGCTCCTGGGAGTCTGGGTATTATAACACACTCTATATTCATATACTAAAGAAAAAACAAAGAGAAGAAAAGAACAATCTTAGAGAAATGGAAAATTCCCCCTGCCTCAGGTGGCCCCAGCAGACAGAGCCTCTGGGATCAGCTCTCTGCAGAGCTGCAGCAGCGCAGCCAGCCGAGCCTGGAGAGACGAGGCCGAGTCCTCCATGCCCTGCGGAGCTGATCTTGCAGCCTCTGGAAGGTGGAATATGGCTCACTCTGCAGTGCCTGGAGGACATCCAATGTTGGAAGTGCCACGTCTGACACGGCACTGCTGGTGTCCTCTGTCAGGTGTTGAAGGGCTGAAAGAGAGAGGGACAGAGCCATGGTCAGAGCCGGATCTGCAGGGAGTCCAGGAGAGCCCCCTGGCAGGGCCATGGCAGCCGGCTCTAGCCATGGGCAGGAGGGAGCAGGGAGCAAGGGGACCAGCCGAAAACTGCTGGCCACGAATCCCCCGGGTGGCCCTGAAATATCGGTGTGCTCTGGCCACGCCGCCCCTGGTGCGCACAGGGAGTAGAGCCCTCGGCAGCCGGGGCAGGGCTTGCAGCTCCCCCGGCAGCCCCCGCTGGCCTCACTCACCGCTGCAGATGAGCCGGAGCTCTTCCTTCTTCCCCCTCAGGTGCTGCCCGGCCATTCCTGTGAACACAGAGCCTGTCACGGCGCCAGCGGCACAGCTCCCTGCCAGCGGCGCTGCCGGCGCTGTGGCCACACGGGCTGCTGGCCCGGCAGGGCTCAGCCCGGGCCCTTGCCGCACGCTGCCGCCCCAGGGCACGGCTGCCAGAGGGCGGCAGCAGCAATGCCCAGGCCAGGCGGGGCTCCACGGCGCCGGGCCCGGCCGGCGCTGCCGGGGCAGCAGGCGGGGCTGGGGCCGAGCTGTGGCGGGCCGGGCCAGGGAGGGAGCCCGGGCTCGTGGCTCACCCATGAACCTGATGGCCGCCTCTCGCAGGGGCTCCTGTGGGCTCTGCAGGTACGGCAGGGCCTGGCGCAGGTGCTCGGCCGCTCTGCTCCTGTCCTCTGCCAGCTGCAGAGAGCGGCAGGAGGGAAGGGTTGGCGCGGGCTCAGCCCCTGGGCCGGGCGCTGCCTGCGCCCAGCCCCGGCCTCCCCTGGCCGCACAGGCCTGAGGCGCGGCCTGCAGCCGCCGGCGCCGGGCTCCCGAGGGGAGAGGGCAGAGCGCCGGCTGCTGCCCGGGGAGACGCGGGGCCGCCCGCCCCGGAGCAACACCGGGCCCACGGGAGCCTGGAGAAGAGCCCGCGCGGCCTCTGGCTGCAGCAGCGGGCAGGGGCACAGCTGCCAGCCCCACACTCTGAGCAGCGCCCTCAGGGGGCTTCTCCGGACTGAGGCTGGGGCTTGCAGGCCGTCCTTACCAGGCACTTGCTGAACTTCCACAGATTCTGGCTCTTCAGCAGTCTTTCAAGATCCCTCCTCTTCAGGAACTTGGCCACACAAAGCAGCGTTTCCTGAGAAGCCTGGAGAGCAGCAGAGCCGCGCAGATGGCCCCGCTGCCCAGGGCGCAGGACCCGCGTCCCTGTGCCAAGGCCTGCAGGAGGCTGCAGCCCGGCAGGCGCCAGGGCAGGAGGCAGCCGAGCCCCCTGCCAGGGGGACGGCAGCAGCCCACGAGTCCTCACCTGTGCCACAAGCCGATTGTCATCATGGCAGTGGAAGAAGAGGGGCAGCAGGCTCTGGCGCAGGCTTGTCTTCAGGGCCTTTTTTTCCCTTTCCTGTGGAAGAGTCACCAATGTTCGGAAGAGCAGGATGGAGATCAGCTGAACCTGCCAATTGTTCTGGATGGAAGCAAGAAGACAAGACCTCAGCATTGCGGCTGCACGGGGTTCAGCTTGGCGCAGGCCTGCAAATGCACAGGGCACAAAGTGTCCGGGCAGCAGCCAGTGGCCGTAGCTGGGGGCAGTGAGCCTTACGTGGTCAAAGAGTGGCAGGAGCGCCTCAAGCAGCTGCAGTGTGATGGGGCCGGGCATCAGCGTGTCATTGTCCAAGATGATAAAGCTGAGTAGCATGACTGTCATGAAAACTACCTCTCCATCTGCATCCCACAGGAACTGCACAAGACTTTCAGTCAGGCTCCACATTTTTTTGGTCTGTGCGGAAGACAAGTTTGTGAAATGCCATCCTGCTGCCGCAGGGCCCAGAGGCCAAAGGCCTGTCGCCAAGCACTGGAGCAGCTGAACTGGGAGGCAGGAGAGCTGGGAGCAGCTGCCCCAGCGGCCAAAGCCCTGCCAAGCCCAAGCGACTGCATTGCCCAGCTCAGCCTCAGCCTCTGCCCCCTTCTCACCATGAAGGGCTCCTCAATGAGCTCAAGAAGGGCCCTGAGCGCCAGGCGACGCCTCTCTCTGCACTGGCTCTGCAGCTGCCTTGACAAGATTTGCAGGACTCTTTTAGCACCACGTTCACTCAAGTCCAGGAACTGGAGGACCTGAAAGGCACAGGGCAGTGACAGGGGAGCCCACCGGCAGGAGCCCGGAGCTGCACAGGGCTGGGCCCAGGCAGCAGCACAGGGCGCGGGCACCGTCCCAGGCAGCGGCGGCTGGGAGAGGGCAGAGAGCTGGCAGGCAGCTCAGCCAGGCAGCGCTGGCCATCAGGCTCACCTCCACAAGGAAGGCCAGGGCGGGCAGCTGCCAGTGTGGCTCCTGTGTGCTGAGCAGCCGCAGCAGGTAGCGAGCGATCCGGGAGCACAAGGGGACGGAGACACAGCACATCTCCCTGGCAGGAGAAAAAGGAGCCAAGGCTGTGGGCCAGGGGTACAAAGCTCTGCCAGGACTGACTCCCAGAGCTCTGCTCTTTCGCCAGCATCCTGCAAGAGGCCCTGGGCTATTTGGGAGGCAGCTCTTCTGGGCACCCTCCTCTGCCAGCCTTTTCCAGTCTGCTTGGCCATCCCTCGGTGACAAGGCCCTCTGGCCCACAACTCGGGGACTCTGTGGATCTCCCTGGGCACACATGTCAGAGGCTGTGGGGAGAAGGGGCTCTCACCTGGCCAGCAGAGCCACGGCATAGTGGTGGGTGTCAGCACATAGCAGCGTGTCCCAGCCACGATGGCTTTCCATTGCCACCACCACATCCTCGTGCTGCATTCGGCAGAGCAGGGACATCAGGGTCTGCACTGCAAACCTGCGTGCACAGCAAAGGCCAGGTCATGCTGGGAGCACTGGCTCCTGGCCAGGGACATGGCAGGGACAGGAGGAGTGGGATGGAGCACCTGTTGGGGCTGGTGGCAAGGCCGTATTCCTCCTGGCATATCCCCTTCCAGAAGGCATCGACCTCCTCTGGCATATCCAGAGTGCTGAAGAACACTTGGGAGAGCAGATGCACAAAGAGGCGGGGGAAATGCACCGTCACCATATGTGGGACACAGGGCACCTGGAGGATCTTCCACATCACCACGGTTGCCTGCAAAGGACAAAGCCCCCCGAGAGAGCGCTCAGTGCCGAGGTGTCCGTGTGGCAGGGCCCGAGCTTGGCAGGGAGAGGCCCGGAGAGAGGCAGGGGGAGCACGGGGCCTGCTGGGCCTGGAGCTGCCCCTGGGCCAGGTTTCAGGCCAGCGCCTGTGGCAGGGAGATGCAGTGGGGGAAGGGGGATGGAGAGGCAGCCTTGGGGACAGCAAAGGCCAGTTAGAGAAACTCACAGCCAGGACAAAGACACCCGTTTTGTCCCCATCGGCGGTGCACGTGCTGTGCTTGGGCCAGCTCCCCAGCACATGCAGGAGTATCAGCAGCGCCGGCTCTGCAGTCCTGGGCGAGCACATGATGGTCTTCCACATGGTGAAAGCAGCTCTGTGGGGTTAGAGCTCTGTCTCAGGGGGGTCTCAGACACAGCACCGGGGGAGCTGAGCTGGCTGCCAGCTCTGCCTCTGCCCAATGCCAATGGCCAGCAGCAGCCAGGCAGCGCAGGCCTGTGGGGACAGGCCCCTGAGGGGCAGCGAGGGAGCATGGCAGCAGGCTCGGGGGTTGACGTGCCAGGGCTGGCAAAGGGAGCAGCCAGAGGGCTCTGGAACTCTCTGTTGCTCAGGCCAGGCTACAACCTGTACAACCTGGGCCAGGCTGTACAGGTTGATGGGCTGGGGAGCCCTGAGCCCCTCTGGGCAGGTGGGCCCCATACCTGTCACAGGACGGGGCCACACGCAGGAGCGTCACGACTACGTCAGCGGGCTGTGCTTCCGTCAGATCCAGCAGGCTCCTGTTCAGCCTGTGCTCAGCAAACTGATTGGCCAGGAGCCACTGGTGGATGTACCTGACCATGGCGGGCACCTGGAGAAGGCACGGGGAGACTTGGAAAGCTGCCAGAAGGAGGAAGGTCCCCAGCTTCTCCAGACAAGTGCTTCCCTTGCCACCACGCTGCCATGGCCTCCAAGAGTTCCAGTGAGCAGCAGGCATGGCTTGGGCGAGCAAGCAATTCCTGGGAGGATCAAGCCTGGCCACAGGCTGCTTACTTGCTTTGGGTTGGAAAAGCCCTCCTCTACGAGCATATCCAGCAGAGCAGCACTGGTCTTGGTTTTGAAGATGTGCGAATAGGCTCTGAGCCCAGTGCCCATGGTGCTGGTCTCTTCCGCCCGAATTTTCTTGATGAATTTGCAAACCAGCTGTAGGAGAAGGGCAAGAAGCCAGGCATGTTGCAGGCAATGCTCCAAGCGCGGTGCCAGCAGGCCCAGCCCAGGTGGGGATGGCTGCAGGTACCTGCGCTGTTCTGCGGAAGAGGCCACGGGCGGGCTCCTGCTCTTGTGTGCACTCCAGGGCTGCACCTGGCAAAGAGCGAGCGCAGCCAGAGCTGAGGGGCTGCGGGAGAGGCCGGAGAACACGGCCCAGCCCTGCGCTGCCCAGGCAGGGAGAGCCCCAGGATGCCCCAGGGGATGGAGCACGGCCCCTGCGGGGCCCCGGCCCCTTTTCTGTCCTGTCCATGGGCATGGCCCAGGGGATGGGATGGGATGGGATGGGATGGGATGGGATGGGATGGGATGGGATGGGATGGGATGGGATGCAAAGGCGCCAAGCTGGCCGCAGGCACCAAGCCTGTGGCCCAGCTCTGCCACTCACCCTCCTGCAGCAGCTCAATTGGCAGCACCTCTTTGGTCTCCTGTGCTGGGGCAGCTGCAGGGCCTTCTTCCTCCTCTTTCCCCCAGGCCACCTTGGGCGCTCTCGGGGGTCTCTGCTCCATGTTAGTGCCTGGATTTGTGGCTACTTGCAGGAGAGATGCCTCAGAAAAGCTCCGAGTCAGCAAGTCCTGCAGTTGTGTCTGGAAGGCACCTTCAAGACAGAAGCCTGGGCAAGGCTACAGGACAGCAAGTCCTGCACTTTGGTCTCCAGGGCTCCTGCCAGAAGGACAGGAGACTCCTGACAACGATTGTGGTGGGGCCTCGAGGGCACTGGTGGCAGGGATGGGAGATGCCTCTGGGGCACCAAGTCCCACACCCTGCCCTCGAGAGCACCTGCAGAAAAGAAGTCTCGGCAAGGCCACGCGTCACCAAGTCCTGTGGCCTGGCTCGAGCTCAGCTGCAGGAATAAGGCCTCGCAAAGGCTGCGGGTCAGACAGGAACGAGTGCGCTATGTGAGGGCTCCTCACGGCACCACTCTGTCCTGTTGTGCCCCGTTGCGTGCTCCCAGCTCCCCGGCAAGCTTCTATTTCCCACGTGTCACAAAGGGGCCTTGGTCACCGGGTTCCGTTCCATGGCACGGTGACCGTGCTGCAGCGTGCCACCCAGGGCCCTTGCACACACTGCTGCCTGCCCTGGGGCTGCCTCCAGCCCAGCCAAAGTGGCCCAGGCTGGAAGGAATCCCTGGCACCAGGTGTCTAAGACAGCCCCACAGGATCTTTAGGAAGGGCTCAGAGCATCAGAAAACGCTGCCCGACTCTGCGGCCTCAGGGCAGCAGAATGAGCCCCAGGGCTGCTGACACCGTGCTGGGAAGGGCACAGGACCTTCCAGAGAAGCTGGCACTGCCTCCTTGGGACTCGTCCCAGCTGGTGGCCATCCTAAACCCGCAGTTATGACATGGACAGGGAAAGTGTGGGCCAGGGCATGAATGCTGCTCTGAGCCCTGGGGCCCGGGCAGCGCTGACATCAGCAGCTGTGGCAGAGTCCCTGCCCAAGCAGAGCTGCCACCCCCCGAGCCCTGGCAGCGCTGGTGCCCGTCTCCTGCCCCAGAGACCTGTGCCCCCGGGGGCTTCTCTGCCACAGGGAGCCAAAGCCCACCTGCATTGGGGGCTGTGCTCCTTCCTGCAGGGGCTGTTGGCAGCAGCACCTGGAGCAACTGCTGGCAACACTTGGTCTCTGCCAGAAGGTCTCACTCCCTGCTGAAATGATTTTCTCATTGAAGTAATTTCCTTCAGCACAAAAACATCTTACTGAAGGCACAGAAGAATCGGGGGTTTAAGATTTTTCAATTCAGAAAAGCTTTACTTCCCATTGCTCAACTCAAGTAGTTCCAAAAAGTTGCAAACTTCCCAAATTCATTGGGATGGCCTGAGAGGGTGAAGAGTTGGAATTTTGCTTCCCATTGTTATAAATGATCAAATCGTGAGCCCAAATTATCAAAAATTTAGCAAAGATTTATTAATTTGTCTGCAAGACCGAATTCCAATATTCAAAACCACCACAGCCAAAGAGACAGCGTCGAGCCCGAGTTTGGCACTGGGTGAACCTGGACCTGACCCCTTGAGTGTCAGAGTCTCCCCCATTCACGCACGCTGCTTCTTGCAGCGAGGTTTTATACAGTTTATTGTGCCCGAGGCAAAGATGACCAAATTTCCTTTGTAACTCTTCACACGCATCGCTGTTTCTTTCCATGTGCAGAGCTGGACAAAAGCTGGGTCCAGGTGTGCCATTGGTGTCAATCGGCTCCGGGGAAGCCGTGTATGCAGATGTATCAGTTTGGCGCTGCTGACTGTCTTGATAGATGCAATTGGCAAGGCGAGAATCGCTCTTGGGTGGCTCCTGAGGACTCAAGAAACCGGTGATCATCGCCCTGGACGCTTCTATCCTTACGTTAAGGCATCGGTCCTTATCTTAACGTGTGTCCGGGAACTAGTTGAATCTAAATAGACAGCTGCTCCCAGCTGGGATGGTTAAAGACATGCTTTTGGATTTCATAATATTTTTTACCATACATTAATAGCATGAATTATCCCTACCATATATTACAATCCCTCCCCTTTTATATCACTAATTTAATTCATGCTTCTTTTATAACCCAAATTGCTAAATTCTTTTTATATCTACTTCTATTTGCCACCATTAAGGGTCTTTCACAAAGAAAGTAACCTTTATTAAACCATTCTGTACTCCCCTTGTGGAATACCCTGATACTCAGTATTGTTTACACTTGTTTTCGCTCGTTTCTTAAATTTTGCCAATACTTTGGCAGCATTGCTGGCATACTTCTTTTCTCCCAGGCTCATGATCTTAGGTGTGTTGCTTCCGGAAGCCAACTCCGGGTCCACGGGCACTATTGCTATCTGCATTCCCTGTACGACAGAGTGGATCAGTCTAATAAAACAAGGAATTACACATGGCAGGAATAGGATTCCGGCTACTGAACACAGCATGAAGAACATAATTGTATTCCACCAGGCCCCATCAAACAATTTGTCCCACCACGAAGATTGCAAAATTGAATTCCATATTTGAACAGGGACCTGGGCCACTTTCTTGATTTCAGCTGCCAATCCTCTTATGGTCTCCCCATAACTGTCAATCTCAATACAGCATTCTGATTCATTGAACTTTCCACACACTCCCCCTTCTTCGGCCAGCAAATAGTCTAAAGCTATTCGATTTTGGCACACAAATGCCCATACCTGGGTGTGCTGATGACTAAGTAAATCCAGAGCCTCAGAGGTGTGATTTGATACAGTTTCCACCACTGCCTGCAGCCGAATCAGCCGGCTCAGTAGGTAAATCGGAGTCCTATACCCGTAGCTTCCATCTTGAGCCCACGTGCTCGGTCCATAATAATCAATTATTCTTGCAGCCGGCCACTCTTCCTCCCCCCAGGTTTGTTTACCACTTATTACAGGTATCATCTTTTTCAAGCTTCTCCTCTCCCTCCTCAGGGTCTCATACATAGGAGCCCCTAGTAGGTTACTTTTCATTCGAGGGAGAGTAAAGACTGGCCAGATCATGCCCAGAGAGCATGATCCTTTCCACCTCAGGGGTAACTCACTGTCTGCCTTTTTCCCGCAAATTCAATCAATTCCATCTGGGGCTTTCCATCTGATATTCGTCCTCCCTGGGTGTCCCCAGTATTCCCTCAGGCCCTCCAAGGATTTGAAAGGGTTGGCTCCAGGATTTTTGACTCAGCACAGTCCTATCCTTTTGTTCCATTCGCAATTGGTCTCATTCTTCCGGCTCCAGTACCCCGTAGGGGTTCTGGTTGCCAGACCTTGCCCTTGTTGTTTGAATTTACCATCAGGGTTGTTACACACGGAGTGTATCCCACCATCTCAGTATATTCCTTTCCTTCCCGACTGATGCAAATAGTTCCAATTACCCTCTGGTCCAAAATCTACCCCTCAGACCTCTGTGCCAACTTTGAGACTTTTGGATTGTCCCATTTCAGAAGCTGTTCTGGAGCCAAACCTTCGCCTTTTCATGGCCATTTCTCTGCTGACTTCAGCCCCTCACAAATCCAGCAATTTGACAATCCCAGTTCAGTTGCAATTTCTTGCATCAAATCAATCGATTTCTGTCCGGGGAAGGCAATTCCCCATCAGCATATTTTTTCTCAAGTAATTCATACTGTTCTTCCAGAGTTTTTAATCTCTCTTGTTCGTTTCTTCCTCAGTTCTGACTCCCTTCTCTTCAATTCCTGAGTGATCTCTCTCATTGTTCCCTCAGGATGCTCACCATCTTTATTTTTCATGAAACAGACAACCCGGTCATATTTCAGGCACACCCTATCATCATTCACCTGTGCCAAATCCAATATGATTGGTTCTCTGCTTAAGGTAAACTTGCTATCAAATTTAACAATTCTTCCCATCCAATACATTTTCCCGTTCATCGTGCATATCCCCAGTCTCGCATTGTCATAACACAATGGGTTCACATGGTGATACGCGACAAAGATCGATTCAGTTTTTCCCCCAACCCACGTGGTTCGATTGCATTGGTTACAAATGGGGATTGACATTATTTCTGCACTCTGTTTCTGTATCTGATGCTTGTGCTCATCTGACTGCCCATTCCTTGACCCTGCCTCAGAATTGATACACCAAATCTCCTAGTCCAATTTACATAGTTTGACCCTTGTGCCATTCACCCAAGAGTACCTGCCAGGCTCCTTGATGCATTCTTCTGGGGCTTGGTATGCTGAGGGTTTCCCATCCCCTTGCCCAACTGGGACCACTTGAGTGCAACTTCCGCACTCATCTGCAGAGCTCTCGTTTCCGCCTCTCATCGGGACCTCAATGTGCAGACTGCGTCCTGCACATGGCCAGGCTCAGGCCAATCAGGATTCCCACCAGGCGTACTCCTCTGCCTTTGCCTCCTCCCCCTGGGGTGCCACCAGCGGTGGGGAAGACCATCTTCACAGCAGCAGGAGTATTCTTCAGGGAACACATTTTCTGACCTAGCCGCATGCCTCCTTTTAAAGGCGCCTCACCGTGAAACCTTGACGGCATCTGAGCTGCACAGTACCTTGATTGATTTCCGGCACTCCACATCCAGAATCTCTGCCTTTGATCTAAGCTTTCCACGCACGCTGTTCTGAAAAATCTGAAACCACTCCTGTGAATCTAATTCAATGATTCCTAGATTTGTGGCTAGGGTTAGGATTCGGTCAGTCAGCTCAAGCTCCTCCTCCAGACACTGAGTGCACAACCCCTTTGGCCTCTGTCCCCCTCTACAGTGTAAAACAAACACTCCCTGACAGTATTCACATTTGAAATGTACAAACGGATAGCATACACAGTCAGACAGTCTACAACCTATCTGATCACTGTTGGTCATTTACAAGGATGTTGGAGTCTGAGTTTCAAGTCGCCTGGGGAAGAAGCAGCCTTCCACTTGGGCGCTTCCTCCTGATGTTTGACTTTCTTCACCCTAGATGCGTGCATCCAGCCTTTCTCCGCCATCCGAATGGCTGTGTCTGTTGTCAGGAGCACAAGAAAGGGGCCTTCCCAGTGAGGGGAGAGGGGTACATCTTTCCACACTTTCACAAGCACTCTGTCACCCGGCTGGATTTTGTGGATAGTGAATCCCAGAGAAGCACTCTGAGATATTATCCCTTGTTTCCTGAGTTCTTGCAAATTTTTGTTGATTGTAACCAAATATGGTTGAAATCTGACAGTCCTCAAGCCTTGGGTGTCCCACCAGCATCCCATGTCTATATGGCATCCCATACAGCATTTCAAACTGTGAGAGTCCCATCTCTGAATGAGGTATCATCCTGATATTAAGTAATGCTAGAGGCAGGCATTTCAACCAAGACATCCGAGTTTCTAAAATTAATTTAGACAACTGCACTTTCCAGGTCGGGTTCATCCTTTCCACTTCTCCTGAACTCTGGGGATGCCACAGAGTGTGGTATTCCCACCGAATGCCTAGCACATCAGCCATCTACTTAATAATCTTTGATGTAAAACGTGTTCCTTGGTCTGAATCAATGCAATTCACCACCCCATATTGGGGTACAATTTCCTCTAGTAATTTTCTGGACACTGTCTGAGCCGTTGCCCATGGGCTAGGAAAAGCCTCCACCCAATGGGTCAATTTGTCCACGATCACAAGCACAAATTTGAATCTCCCCACTTTTGGCAATTCTGTGAAACCAACTTGAATTCTTTCAAATGGTCGGTACGCTATGGGGCGATTCTCCAGGCTGGCCTGTTTTGCCCATGTCTTGTTAACTTTCTGGCAAATCAGGCATCCTTGTACCTCTTGTTTGGCCAATTCGTAAATTCCCTTGCACACGAAAAATTTCAAAAATTGCTCTGCCAGGGCCTGTGCCCCCCAGTGTGTTCGCTGGTGCAGTTTCCACAAATCCTCCTGGTAAAACCTTTAGAAACTGGTTCTCTCCCATCAGGTAATCTCCACTTACCTTCTTTCAATTTTCCTCCAATCTTCTCATAACATTCAATCTCCTCTTGAGAGGGCTGTGGAGGATCATCTGGGACCTCAGTCCCTTTGATCTCCAGGGTATTCACCGTCATCAGTGCCATGGTCTTGGCTTCCTGGTCCGCCAAATTGTTTCTTCCGGGTTGGAACTGAATCCCTGCCAGGTGTCCCTTTACATGGACCACCACAATTTCCTCCGGCCCCCTTAGAGCTTCTAAGATTTGCCAGATCAATTCTCCTTGCATCAGTCCCTTCCCCCTTGTGTTGATCAGCCCCCTTTCCTCCCAGATTTTCCCAAAAGTCTGAACCACTCCAAAGGCATACCTAGAATCTGTAAAAATTGTTCTCTTTCTCCCTTTCAGTCCCTTCAAGGCTCTCAGAACTGCATACAGTTCACATGCCAGTGCTGACCAACTCGCACTCAGGGGACCTGCTTTAATCACTTTTCCCGTCTGTCCATCCACGACTGCGTATCCTGATTTCCTTTTCCCATCAACTACCCTGCTTGATCCATCCACAAACCACTTCTCTCCTTCATCCAACTCTTCCTCTTCTAAATCCTCTCTGATCTTTGTTTGTAATTCAACCACCTCCATGCAATCATGAACAAGCTCCTCTGAAGCTTCCCCAAACAAAAACTGTGCAGGGTTCTGTGTGGTCGTTGTTCTCAATTCCAAATCCTGCGAGTGAATCAAAATGGCCTCATCCTTCAGCCATCTAGCATCAGTGAGCCATTTGTCTGCCTTCTGCTGTAGTATGTCCCGCACGTTGTGCGGTGCAAATGCTACCAATGGTGCGCCGGAGGTTGCCTTCTTGGCTTCCTCCACCAGCAATGCTACAGCGACAATCGCCTGCACGCAGGTGGGCCAGCCCTGCTGACCGGATCCAAAAGCCTCGACAAGTAACCCACCGGTGTGCTGACCCTGCCCAGTCCTGTGTCAGCACCCCATGTGCTGTGTGACTGCTCATGCCCACAAACAACTGAAAGGGTTTCTTCACATCAGGGAGGCTCAGCACTGGTGCTGCTGTGAGTGCTTCCTTGACTCCCCTGAATTCTTCTTTGTCTTTCTCCATCCATTTGATTCGGTCTGTGGTGAGTTTCTCCTATAGAAACTTCACCTTTTCGCTGTACCCTTCAATCCACTGCTGGCAATATCCCAACAACACCAAAAGCTGTCTGACCTCCCTTTTTGTTTGCAAGGGTGGTAAGGCAATAATCCCTGCCACCCTCTCTGGATCCAATTTCTTTTTTCCCCTGGTTAACCAATGTCCCAAGTACCTGACCTCGGGCTCTGTGAACTGCAACTTCGACTTTGACACCTTCAACCCCTTTTCCCCTAAAAAGTTCCAAAGCTCAATGGTGCTCACCCTTACAACCTCCTCCCTTGGACCTGCAACCAACAAATGGTCTACATATTGTAGCAATTTTGTCCCCTCTGTTGGTACAAAATGACTCAACACCTGCTCAAGTGCATGCCTGAATAAATTCAGGGAATCCACGAAGCCCTGAGGCAACGATGTCCACCTGAGCTGCTGCTTTCTCTTCGTCTCTGGGTCTTCCCACTGAAATGCAAAATAATCTCTGCTGCCCTCTGCTAAAGGACAGGTCCAAAAAGCATCCTTCAAGTCAATCACGGCGTACCACGTGTCTTCAGGAGAAATGTTATTCAACAAAGTGTAAGGATTTGAGACCATGGGGAACAAAGTCTTAGTGCTCTGATTCACAGCCCTTAATTTTTGCACCAGCCTAATGCTCCCATCTGTCTTTTCCACAGCCAAAATTGGGGTGTTGTGCTGAGACATGCATGGCTCCAACGTTCCTTTCTTTATCAATTCGTCAATCACTGGTTTCAATCCCTTTCTCCCCTCCATGGCGGTGGGATATTGTTTGACCCATATATTGTTTGACCCGTATAGGGTCTTCTGGTCTCCCAATTTCGACACAAATCTGCTCTATGTCCAACCTCCCAGCTTCCCCTTTGACATACCACACCTTCGGGTCTATTTTCTCCTCTTCCTGAACGGTGAGTTTATACATTCTCAGCCTGAGCCAGGAATTCTCCACTGCCAAGCCGATTTCTAGGGCTACCATCATGTCCCGCCCCAGTAAATTAAAATCCGCATCCCGTATCATTAATATATGTCCTGTACGTCTTTTGTTTTCCGTTTCTATTTCTACGTCTTTTATGATCAGAACCTCAAAGGGTTCCCCTTTTGCCCCAATTACCATCAGTGAGTCGTCACTCAGAGAGCACCCTTGTGGCAGCTGCTGCACCGCTGTCCGTTCCGCCCCCGAGTCTACCATAAACCACATCTCCTGCCTCTGGGGTCCTACTTTTAATTTTATCAAGGGCTCCCTCGGTGTTCCGGACCCCAAACTGAAAAGCCCCTGACACCCCTAAACTTCTTGAAACATTGCGTGGTCCTTGGCTTTGTTGGGACAATTCCTTCAGATGTGTCCCTTTTGCTTGCAGTAATAGCACTCGAAATCTCTCTTCTGATCATTCGATCCTTTTCCTTGGGAAGAGTTCTGTTTCTTTGCCAGCGCCTTCTTCGCCGTGTCTCTGACCTGCTCCTGTTTTTGTGCTTCCCTTACCACAGCTACCAATACCTTAGCTTGGATCTTCTGTTTCTCTTCATCTCGTCTCATGTAGACTTTCTGGGCTTCCTGAAGCAGCTCCTGCAACCCCTTTTCCTGCCACCCATGTATCTTTTCTAACTTTTTCCGAATGTCCTCCCAGGATTTTGCTACAAACTGAGTTTTTAGCAAAACCGCCCTGATCAGAGAATCGGGATCCATGCCCAAATACATTCTCAAGCCCTTGCGGAGCCTCTCCAACCATTCCGTGGGAGTTTCATCTTTTCCCTGGCACTCTCTGAGTACCTTCCTCATGTTCTGTCCCTTGGGTACCGCTTCCCTGATACCCTGAATTATCATATTTCTTAAAATTATCATTTTCTGCCTCCCCTCCTCCGTCTGGGCATTCCAGGACAATTTTTGGTTTGGCCATCTCTCATCCCCCTTTCCCTGTTGGGGTTTCTCTTTTCCCAGTCTTTGATCACAGCTAGTCTGATCATGTCCCTCTCCTCACTGTTGAACAGTGATCTCATGATCGCTTGGAGATCCTCCTCGGTGTAGGTGCTGGTCCCTAGAAATTCATCTAGCCTTTCTGCCACCCCCAAAGGATCATCCATTAATTTTCCCATCTCTTTCTTGAACGCTTGCACATCACTGGTGTCTATCAGGGCGTGTACAAAGCCAATAACTCCAGGAGCTGTTGGCACCTCCTGTAAAGGGAAGAAACGGGGCTTCTCTTCCTCATCTTCACTGTCTCCCGTGGTTGCCCTCCTCATTCGCTGCCTCGTTCAATAGGCCAAGGGAGATCTGACTTTGGGGATGGTGACCTGTTTTTCTTCGGTTTTGGGAAGGGTCAGCAGCAGCGGTTGCTCACATGGGAGCGGAGTCGCCGCCGCTTGTTCACGTGGAGGGGAAGGCGCCACAGCCTGCTCCGGTGGGAGCCTGGAGGAGTGGGGGGATCGGCCCAGGCTCTGTGCTTGTTCAGGATCCCCGAGTGCAGCAAACGGGAGAGTTCCCGGCTTGGAGAGGCCCCGCTCAGAGGGAGTCGCTGGCCCAGGAGATCTCCAAGGGCTCCTTTTGGAGCGCTGTTTGCAGGGCCCCAAGAGAGGGGCTTCAGTCCCAGCAATGGCTCATCCTGGCCGCACTGGGCACCAACAGCTTTCTTTGGCAGGGTGACAACAGGGATCTTGTGCCACTGAGGGAACAAAATCAGTTCCCAGGGCTGCTGCTAAAGGAACCAGGAGCTGGTTGGGCAGCAGCAGTGCCTGGAGCAGACAGTGTTTGTGAGGAGCTGCAGAGGAGCTGAGCCCAGGGGCTGTTGGTCAAGGCTGAGGCCCAAGGAGCATTTCTCAGCTGGCAGGGCGGCCTGAGAAGGGCAGGGGGGAATGCAGCAGCACAGGGCCATGGAACCAAGGGACCATTGTGACACTGTGGGGCCCTGTGACACCAAGGGACCATTGTGACACTTTGGGGCCCTGTGAGACCAAGGGACCACTGTGACACTGTGGGGCCCTGTGAGACCAAGGGACCATTGTGACACTTTGGAGCCCTGTGAGACCAAGGGACCACTGGGACATTGCTGGGCCTCATGGAACCAAGGGGACCATACTGACACTGTGTGGCTCCATGGAATGTAAGGATCATTGTGACACTGAGAGGCCCCATCAAACCAAGGGTCCATTGTGACATTGTAAGGCCTCATGGAACCATGGAGACCATTATGACACTTTGGGGTGTCATGGACCCAAGGGGCCATTGTGACACTGCGGGACTCCATGGAACCAAAGGTTCATTGTGACATTGCAAGGCCTCATGGAACCATGCAAAGACAATTAAGACACTTTACAGCCTCATGGACCAACGAGCCATTGAGACACTGAGAGGCACCATGGAATCACAGAGACCATTGTGCCCCTGGGGGTCCCCAGAGAACCAAGAGGACCATTGTGATATTGTGGGGCCTCGTGAAACCAAGAGGCCTTTGTGACACTGCAGGGCTGCATGGAACCAAAGGTCCATTGTGACACTGCAGGGCCTCATGTCATCAGTGGTCCATTGTGACACTGGGCAACCAAAGGAGACCATTGGGACACTGCAGGGCTGCATGGAACCAAAGCTCCAGGGTGACACAGAGTGGCGGCCTGTCATCAATGGTCCATTGTGACACTGTGGAGCCAGAGGAGACCATTGTGACACTGCAAACCCCCAGGGTCCAAAGGTCCATTGTGACATTGCAGGGCTCATGGAGCAGAGGAGTCACGCGACATTGTGGGGCCTGGGGAACCAGGGAGACCATTGTGACACTGCAAGGCCTCATGGAATCCTTGGGACCATTGTGACACTGCGGGGCCTTATGACACCTGGGGGCCACTGTGACACTGTGGGACCCCATCGAACCTGGGGGCCAGTGTGACACTGCAGGTCTTCTTGTAATCAAGGGGCCATTGTGACACTGCTGGAACCCATGGAATCAAGTCACCATTATGACACCGTGGGGCCCCATGGATCCAAGGCACCATTGTGACACTCTGGAGCCCCATAGAACCAAGGGAACACAGAACAGCTCTGGCTGGTTTGGCCTCCCATGGGCTGCCTGACTGGTCCAAGGGACCATTGCATGTTGAGGGTCACTTCCCATCTGCTGCTGAAACACTGGGGCTCTGTGCTTTCCTTCCCAAGGAAAATAACTGTCCTTCTGCTCCAGGCACCCAAGGCCAGAATTGGGATTTCACCTCCAAATTTCCTTCTATCCAGGGATTCTTCCCATAGGAATATTGCCAGGACAAGTCTGGCTGGCAGTGGTTTCACAAGGGTCACCTCTCATCTGTCCCCAAAACACTGGGGGAGGCTCCATGCTGTCCTTCCCATGGGAAAGAACTGTCCTGCTTCTCCAGGTGCCTGTGGCCGAGATTGGGTATCCACCTCCAAACTTCCCTAAATCCAAAATCTGCTATTACTGACAAGTCTGGCTGGCCTTGGCCTACTGAGGCTCTCACCTGCCTTCCAAACCTTGGAGCTCTGTGCTTTCCTTCCTATGGAAAAGAACTGTCCTTCTCAGCCAGGTCCCCCTGGCCACAATTGGGATTGCACCTCCAACACTGCCTGTTGTGACAGACTGGAGGAGATTGTTGGCTCCAAACATTTTGTGTGTGGGGGAGGAAGGGGCAGGTCTGGCCTTGCCCTGCCCTGTAAGCCCAGCCCTGCCCTGCCCTGTGACCCCAATGCCCCCAGGGGCCTCCAGTGGGTTTACGGTTTCTACCTGAACCGCGGCAC